ATTCCTCCAGGTGGGTGTTGCTTGGATCTGGCTGCTGTGCTCCACTTTTTTCTGCTATAGGCGTTAGAGCTGAACTGTTTGTGTTGCTCTGGCAAGATGTTCTGCTCCTGAATCAGCTGGGTGGGTCTTGCCTCTAGCCTCTTTGCAGGGAGTTCTGCTGAAGGGTTCCATGCTGGGCCTGCAGCCTGGGTCGAATGAGGATCCCCGTCCCTGGGTTGTCTCCCTCACTCGCCAGGCCTGCGCTCTGGGTCTGTTCAGGATTCCATGGCCCCCGGTCGTCTCACTCACTCGCCGGGCCTGCGCTCTTGGTCTGTTACCTAGAAATGTTAATGACTTCATTCTAAATCTATAGTCATGAGTCAGCAGCAGAGAGATATAAAATGTTCTTGTTTATTTCCATAGCACATACACACACACACACACACACACACACACACACACACATTAACATTTGTTGAACATGTATTGACATTTGTTTCATATTTTAATTTTGAAGATTGCGTGCATTTGTTATGACTTGTGTCTTGATGTTCCCCCAAAGACTTGCAGCCACGGTGGTACGTTTTCAGATGTGGTTGGATCTAGAATGTTATTCTGCAATTGATTTAGATTCAGTGCTAGAATTAAGGGCAGTAGGATTAAGTGTGTAAGTGCTGTTTGCCCTACGTAACCAGTACAAGATATAAGGGGTAGAACCAGCTGTGGTCATGTCCCTTCTTCTTTTTCAACCTTTTGCCTGCTAAGTACTGTTTCTGCTGGGTGAAACCTATCTGCCTGGGATCCAGCTAATTATGGTCTGATGCTTCTACAAGCTATCAACTAAATAAGTCTTTTTTTCCCCCTTTAACTTTCAGTGTCAGGTATTTTGTTTCAGTGATGAGAAATGTAACTAAGAGTTTGGTCCTAGAGAAGTGGGATCATTTCTGTGACTCTACCTGACAATGTGGTTTAGGAGCCTTTGGAGCTGGCTTGTGAGAAGGGAAAGAGTTAAGACAGGTTTACAGATGCCAGCTGAATGGGTAAAACTGAAATGCCAGAAGCTTTAATTGATGGAAGATTATAGTCAAAACTCAGACCAGAATGCTGATAGAAATTTTCCTGATAAAGATCAGGCTCAAGAGGTTTCTGCTGGAAAGAAGGACAGTATTGGCTGTTGGCCTCCAGCTTAGGCATATTATGCTTTGGAGGAAGTTTGTCTGAATTTTGTGGGGTTTCCAGAGACTTCCTGATAATGAAGTTAACGGTGGCAGACTAATTAATCTGGCAGTTGAAATATCAAAGCAGTCTAATGCTGAGTTGGTGGCATGGCTACTATTTGGAGCTTTTAGCTATGTTTGTGTTGAGAATTAAAAGCAATGAGCCCAGAAGAATGTTTTAAAAAGGTTTAAGTTTGACCAGAATGGAAGCTCCAGGAATATGTCTGGTTGCAAAGAAGGAGCAGAGGAGAAATAGATTGCTGAAAGGACTAGCAAGCAAAAGCTAAGTATTTCAGAAGAAAACAGAAAAGATCACCTGAGAAAATCACAAGAACCAGCATGACTCCACCCTTTGCAGTCTCAAAATTGCAAAAGTGAAAGGATTTGCTTTGAGAAGAAAGCCCCAAAACACCATGTTTCAAAATGATGGTAGCCTAGGGAAGTTGTTCCTGAGGATATGGTTCACAGACACTTGACCTTTATAGCCAGGAGGAAAGAAAGCCTGGCTATTGCTTCACCAGGCAGCAAACTTTGGCATCATACATACATATGGTACTGGTTTTAGGAGCATGCTGAATGCAAGAGTTGTGGTGTTAGAAATGTTCCACCCTAAATTCAGAAAAAGACCTTGGAAGCTAGGCATTGTGTTCCTGAGAAGGCAGTGTGTCAACCTGTGAGTGTGCATCCAAAGATTCAGTGGAGAACCCCGAAGTTGGAAGAAGTTAGGAATATGGATCATCCAAGGAATGTTGCAAGATGTAAGCAAAGCTAGCCAAAGAAAGAAGTGAGAAAAGTAACTGAGACCAGAGGCATGGATCTGATGTCAGCCTGAAAAGAGAGCAATGCAAAAAGGAGAACCCACATTGTGTTTTGCCACTGTTTTTGCTTTTGCATGGTGACCACCCTCATACTGTAGGTTGTACTACTTTCACTACTGTTACATGGCTACAACTGACTTTGTAGAGCTTGTTTCTTTTTCTACCTTTAATAAACTTTGCTACCATTTGTGCTTGTCTTTACCAATTCTTTGCTCATGAGAGAAAGAACACAAAAACCACTTCCAGAAGGAGATTTCAGTATCCCAAAAGCCAGTAACAATATGGCACAGAATTTCCTCATTAGACATGGAAGATCTTTTATTGTTGCTCTGTTTTGTTTAGCAATCAACATAATGGCTGTTTTTCCATGTGAGCCCTGCCCTGAATTATAGTCAATTCATATAACTAGGGCTCTGGAAAGTATTCCAATATTATGTAATCTAGTACTAAATTGCTAATGTGAGATTCACTTGCTATTCTGGCATTTTATTTAGTTCCTGTAATTTGGCATGGGAAGTATAAAGTAGCATATACTCAGTAAGAACTTAGGGGTCCATTTACCAAAATGTTATTGAAATTAAGAACATAAAGGGCCAGCCAAATAGCTCAGCAAATTAAAGCAACTGCTAACCATTGCAGAGGCCAGGGGTTTGATCTCCAGGCCTGCTGTTCTGGCCCTGCACCTGGGGAGCGCTGAGACAGTGATTGAAACTGGGTGTGGTGACATGCACCTGTAATCCCAGCACTTGTGGGACTATAAACAGGAGAATCACTATGAGCCCAATCTAGTAGTGAGACCCTGTAGACCCTTCCCTAGAATACAAAAGAAAAAAGAAAAAAAAAAGAAATTAAGCACATAGGATTATGAGTTTCAGCCCAACCAGAGAGAGACTCTGAGAGTCACTTAGAAAGATTCTGTCTCAATACATACATAAATGAGTGAAAATAAGGAGTTAGGAATGTTAGTCAATGGAAAGGCCTTGTGTTCAATCTCCAGTAACACATAGAAAAGAAAAAAAACAGCAATTTTACAGTAAACATTGCGACTGAAGTAAACCCAGTCTTGCCTGTAATACCAGAAAGTGTTCTTTCTCTCAAGTCTCGCTAACATTTCTGGTGTTGATTGGTTGCCTGACATATGTCTAAAAAGAATCATATATTTCTCACTGAGAAAAAAAAAAACTTCCTTTTCAACAGCAATGCACAAATTAATCTAAGTTCATTTATACTGGCAATTTATTTACACTCAAGATTTCATATGATCATATATCCAATTCTTTACTAATTTTCTATAGGGTTCCATGGAACACCCTGGTCCAGTACTTAAGAGAACTTCCCTTTCAGTCTGTTTTACTACTTTTATTTACTTTACAAGTCACTTAGTTTCTATGGATGGGCTGTAGCCAAATTACAGTTAGCACAAGAAGGCAGCTCTAGGGAAAACTATTTTCTAGTACATTTTGGAATTTTATTGTTTGATTTGTTTATATTTTTCTTATTTACTTGGTTTTCTTTTATCAGACTTATTGGTATATTTTAGATATGCATAGTGATCACATTCATCATAGAAAATTTGTACCTGTGATCAAGTTTTCTTTTAAAAGAGAATTTGAAAAAAAGAATAAAAAAGAATTTGATCTACTGGTCTACAAGATCTATAAGATTCCCTCTGTGCACAGTTATGCCAGAGGCAAAGAATGATTAGAGAGTAACAAGACTGTAAGTGGGAGGTATTGAACTCTACTTAGAGTTACTAAGCACTTGGAAGGAATTACTAACTAGAGAGCTGGAGAGAGTGCCTGATAAGTTGTAGGGGATCTGTGGGAATGATAATCTCAAATAGTGCAATCTTATTTGCCAAGGGTGGACTTATGGTTGAAGATGCTACCTTGCCAATAAGTGAAAATATTTTAGGGACAACACTGCTTTAAGGTAGTCAGCCACAATCTCATGGTGACAGTCAAGTGAAGTAACTACTATGTCATAATCCTTGTTGGTATAGCAACAGTAATGGCCTGATATCACACAAGAAATGTCTCTTCAGTGTCGCTGCACCACTTGCTAAAGCAACTTGCCAAAAATATACATTGTAAGCTGCATGTGTTTTATAAGAGATATCATATGGTGGAAGGGGCTAACAATCACATAACCTGGAATTGAAATTTCAAGGAATGAGGACAATGGACTTTTTCAGGTAGACATTAAGAACTTAACCATGAAGCTCTATATGTTTTATTCTGAAGTACCAACTAATTTTATGGTCCTGACTTGGAGAAATTAAACTTATAGCTGACTATACTTTGAATTACTACTTTGTATTTTTAGTCTTAGTGCTACTAGGTGATATATACTTCTAATTTTAAATGTGTTGGTGTAGCAGCATCTTGTGTTTCTCTTAGAAAAATCTCACAATTCTGTACTGCCATGGACCTTTCATGACAAGAATGAAATTTACAGCTTCACTTAATTTTGAATACCTCTTTTTTTCTAGTTAGTAAATTTGCTTGGGTAATTGTTTTTTTTTTCCATAATTTTATTGAGAAACAAATAGCAATGAGACAGTTTCAAATCAAATTGGTAGGACAATTTCAATAATTAACACATTGCATACTGTCTTCCTAGTGGTTATTTGATGCAGACATGATATCCCATTTACAAACACTATTAGGATAAATCCCTCTATTCGTTGAATTAAGAGAATGTACCTATATATCTATCCTAACCATTTTGAATGCACATACAAAACAGTCATTCATCTGTATCCCCTTTTCTGTTTAGTTCCATCATTTAAATATTATAGGTGTGTGAACTCAGAAAAATATTTCAAAATAGTTCAGTACTCCATAATAGTATTGGATCTTCCACTTGACTGGCAATATGAGAAGTTCAACAACTCCTGAGTCCCCTACAGCTCAACATAATGCCATGGCTTTACTTCTTATACTTTTGTGCTTGATGTTAAGACCAAGATAAAGCAAGACCTATGTAACAAGAATTGTAGCTTTTGTATCTGATAAGGTCAGTGAAATCCCCTCAGGATTTATCCTGAGACCCTGTACGTCAGTTTGTAGATCCTTTGTCAGTGTCAGCCATGTGGATGAGTCATGGCCATTGCTTGGCCAATGTGCTCTCTGTGAAAGCCTGAGAGAATGTTTTATCTCCATGTGACTCTCCTTATGCACAGTCTACATCATCAATCACTTTCCTCTTTGGCCCCATAATCTCCTTGATTAGAAAATTTGGGACACAACTGAGTTACAGGATGTTACAGTACATTTTCTTGTATGTCCTGAGTCCTCACTGACCTTGAAAGGCTAGGATCAAAATGTTAGCTGTCCTTGCAGCCCTTGTTTTTCTCTAATTTTTGGTCTGCAAACTTAAGTTGTTAACCCTCCAGAAGAGAAGCTTAATGATATTACCCAATAACATAGGCAGTTGAGCTTAACCTCACTATCTGTCTGAATATCAAATATCTTAGATACAACATGGAACAGGTTGAATTCCTCTTTTATATATTTCTTTTTATACACAGTGATAATAAATTTGTGAATTAACTCTCTTGAAGCAAGATGCAATATCATAATTTCTTAGGCAAAATCTTTATATTTGTTGCTACTGGCTTATAATTCAAGTATCAGAAGATGAATTATTTTATGATACAATTTCCTGGCTTTGCAATTTGTTTGCAGGAAACAGAGAAGAAATTCCAATGAAGATGACGACCACAATTCCCCACATTCCAAAAGGAGGAAGATGAACTCTGACTTTCAGGAGTCTTGGGATGCAGAGGTACGGGAATATGGTCAAAGAGCCTTTCTATTTTATTCATTACCTTCACTAAAGCCTTACATTTGATGCTATAATAAAGAGTATTAGACCATGATATCATCATAACAGTATTATAATTTGATTGCATTGGTTTTTGAGCCAGAACTTTTAGGCATGATCATGATATTAATATATAAAAGAAGAGAGAAAGGAATCACACAAAGATCTTGTTGAACAAAGAACAGGAGGAATTTGGACATTTTCCCTTTATAAGTGATTAATAATTTTGTTTTCCTTATTTTTAAAAGGAACGTATATTTTAAGCATATTTTAATATATTATTAGCTAGAAGTCAATTCTTGATATCCTACTGAAAAACATGAAAATGAAATTAAGGGCAGTGCCAAGATATTTTTGCTCAACTGTAGTGGTGTTTGAATTGTATAACTTCAATTTTAACTTCAAGAAACTTTCCCAGTGACTTGTTTGCATTAGCCCACCATTGCTTTTCTTGAGGTACAAGTTATTATAGGTTAGTAAAAAACTCTATAAAGTTTTTCTGTATAAATCTGGTTAGTTATTAAATAATGCTCAATTTCCCTTTCACGAAGAGGTAAAAATATTGTCAATTCATGTTCTCTGCCTAGAATCTGTAAAAAGGTAGTTATATTTCTAGATTCTAGACAGTTACTTTGGTGAGTAAAAGGGATAAGCTTCTTAAAAGATCGTATAATCTGTGGTATACACTTTAAGAAACTTTATTTATAGAGCATATGAACCATCTTAAGCAATTTGAAACTGTAACAGAATATTGCAATCTCACTTTTTAAATGAAGATATACACATCGACCTGTGTAGGTGAAAATTACTGAGCAGTCTTTGTGTTTATTTGTTGTTTTCTTTGTTCCAGTTCTATTTACCAAATTCAAACAAGGCGAGGTTGTTTAGTGTCGGGCGCCCTCCCGTCCAGCAGGAAAG